TGAATATCGTTTTGCTCTTCGTCTATTCCGAGGGCGACTACCATGTTGCAAGCATGCTAGTAAGAAATTCTTTGCAAAAGTCAAGTTCTATTGGGTAGTTCAACCAGGGATTAGTTACAAAACTGACTACGGTGACTCCTATGTGACCGGCGACCTGCCTCCCAAGAATGAACTATAACGCGAGAGCGTTGAAGTTTGGTGAACATTTCGATGAGGTAAATAATGGTTTGTACGTCGTTCAGAAGGAGAGCAGGCGACGTGATTCCCTTTGGTAAAAGTAATAAAGAGAAACACAAAAGAAGAGCGCCCTTATAAAGTTCTGCAGGAAATCAGAAGTGCAAAATCATCCGTTACCCTCACAGAGGCTCTGATTCAATGTGTGGGGCGTGGTAAGAGCATTCCGATTTCATTCAATGCGGAAGGCTATTGGGGAGTTTGCGTGAACTTGTAAAGGGCGTTCGTTGTGGAGGTGATAAAATTCAATTCTGAACTCAGACCAAGATTGATCAACCGCCGCACCCGTTGCGAACGAGAACGTGCTGAAGAGCAGCAAAGTAAAATTTTTGCCTCGACTCCCTCCTGCCATAATTCTCTCACGAAAGCACAAGATCCACCATGTAACCAAAATCCGCAAAAGAATCAATAGATTTGACTGGAGTTTGGGTTCGCGTGCACAGCAGCCTCACTACAAGATACGGCACGCTCCGGACAGTGCGTTCGCGCCCCCCGTTCCATGACGGGCACAAGTCGTTGATCGTGTCGTTGGCCTTCTTGCGCTTAAAAGCGTGACAAAGGCCAAGGAGCTCGTCGAGTCGCAACTCACACATTCGGTCCGCAGACTGAGCCGACCTCGCGTTCACTCGTCCCGAGACCTCCCCTAAATATAGCCACTCCTGCTTGGGTTGTTGTCCGCATTTTACATGATTTTCAAATGACAGCCTCCATCATTCTTTGCCCCAGTTCAAGCGGAAAGGCGGGTTGATAGTTTTCCGTCAACGGAAACATTCTCTTGGATGGTGAGGCTAAACACCTACTTAGCCCGTCTTAATCCTGCTGTTGCGTATAAGCTACATAAAACCCTACCCTGTGATGAGCGGCATGCAACAAATCCCCTGGCCGTCCGTTATGGGTTAACCGACCCCGGAGAGGTGGAAGACTTGGTTGGTACGGGCGACTCACGACCCAGGATTTGATCCCCGGACTGCTCGCGTGATAAGCGTGCCACTTGCCACTATGCCACTTCCGCCCAACTTCCCTTCATCGTGGATGCGTGACAATTCAGTCGTGGCACTGGCTAGGTCGCCGCGCCAGCCGCCGCAGCCAGAGATGTCGCGGCGAGTTCGCAAAGAACTCAGCATCCAAACATCAGAGAGTGTAAGTGTAGATAAGGTTTTCAGTCACGGAACATGGAATTGAAATTGCCTAAGTCCTTGAAATGCGGTTTCCTTGTCCCTTGCCATTATTACAAGCTTATCCCATCATGCTTACGTTATCGCCTTCCTCAGCTTTCCTCTGTGTCTTGAAACGTGCCGTTCCTTCTAGTTCAACCACATTATCACTCCATGATAGAAATTCAGGCAGCTGATAATGAAGAAATCAAATTTAATTTAAGAGGGCAACCTTTACATGATACAACCTTTGCACTGCGAAGCTTAAATCACTGCGGAGATCACAAGACGACGTCTGCTGGCTTACTGATGTCTACTACTCTGATCTTATCAGTCACCTAGCCAACTTATGGGCTTGGATGGTTAAGACAAGGTTCACACAAAAATTGCCGCTGCAACCATCGCGCGCGACGATTTCCGCCGCGTGTGCGGCGTGACCCCATTAGCTGAGCTGAGCCTGTCTAAGATGAATTATCATGTCCCTGCCTTTGAAAATCATTACTGAATATCTCATCAAAAGATACCTTTGGAGGGAAAAATCACATGTCAAAATTTTCTGAACCAAAAAGGAATTGACGTGCATGGCATCTCGGTCTCCCTCCTCCTGCAAATTCTCGCACTATGGCAGCACTAATAAATCAATTTCAAGGGCAATGTTGACATCTGAAACACGATGGAATGTTGTAAGAATGGTTGTGCGAATACCGCGACTTTGTAGGGGCTTGAAGTTTTGCCACTTTTCGCGCTGGTGCTCCAGAATGGAAACTAGAACAATTGTTCATGGTCGAACCTTGTCTTTAAGCCGTATTAGCTTACGCACTCTATCGATTCTACTCATCGAATCTCGGATGGATCGCCTACACTCTAAAGAAGAGATCAACGACCGAGCTATGCAACGAGAGCCTGTTTCTACATATCTGCTGTAAGCTAGCCTCTCCTATGAGAGCTGAATCGTATGTGAGTAGATCAAGTAAGACGAGC